TATGTACCACAGCTTGTTTATCCATTCTTCAGTTGATGGGCACTTTGGCTGGCTCCATCTTTTTGCTATTGTAAATAGTGCAGCTATGAACATTGGTGTAAATATATCTTCCCGTGTTGTTAGCCTGGGTTTCTTGAAGAGCATATGATTACATTTTACTTTTTTATGCAAGGAGCTCTGGTAGTGAAGTGGTTATGAATCTGGCTGCTAACCTCAAGATCAGCAGTTGGAAACTACTAGCTTTCTCCGTGGAAGAAAGGTGTGGCTTTTTGCTGCTGTAAAGATTTACAACCTCGGAAACCCTGTACAGGGTCGCTATGAATCGGAACCAACTCCACGCACATAACCACCGCAACCACTTTTTTATGCACCCTGATTTATATATGACATTTAAAGTGATTATTGATATAGTTGGTTTAATATCTACCATGTTTGTAACTGTTTTCTATTTGTTGTTGTTTATCATCCCCTCTTTTTTTGCCTTATCTAGTTTTAACTGATCATTTCTTAAGCTTCTGTTTCTCTCCTAGCATATGTATCAATTGTAATTCTTTTTTAAAATATTTTTTTGTGTGGCTGCCCTAGAGTTTGCAATATGCATTTACAACTAATATTAAATCCACTGTGTGGTGCCATTTGCTTTCGTACATAGAGTCCGTACAGTAGCTTTACAACTGTGCAAAATCATCATGTGTTTTTTAAAGAAAAATGATTGTGTTCTCTTAAAAGAAAAGAAATAACTATATCCTTTTTTTTGTTTTTTTTTATATATATAGGTACATGAAATCTCGCTTAACCTATTGTCAAATTAATGATGTCATTAAAGAAATCAACAAGGCAGTAGCTAGTAAATACAAGATTGTACATCAGCCAAAGAAATCTATGAGTTCTGTGGTCAGAAACCTTTATCACAGATTTATAGAAGAAGAAACAAAGGATACAAAAGGTAAAATGGTAGCATGTACATGTGTACTTGGCAACTGTTTGCCATACAACTCATTATGAAAAGCAAACCTAATTCTCAAAATTCTAATCTAGAGAGGTAGTTCTTAACTGAAGCAGTTTTGCCCATGAGGGGACATTTGGCAATGTCTTAAGACATTTTTGGTGGTTACATCTCATGTAAGGAATGCTATTAACATCTAGTGGGTAGAGAACAGGAATGCTGCTAAAATGCTGCGTGCACTATACAGGGTATACCTCTCACTCTCTCCTAAAAAAGAATGATCAGACCCAAAATATCAGTAGTAGTGCCATGGCTAAGAAATACCACTCTAGAATCTGTTGTGGTACTATATCTAGTATTCTGTTAATTAGAATACAAATAATGATAGTAGGTTATACCTATATAACATTTACTTACTGTGTACCAGGTAGTGTCCTAAGAGCTTTAGTCCTGATAATACCATTATAAGGTAGGTACTATTATTATCCCCAGGTTGCAGATGAGGAAAGAGCGTAACTAACTTGCCCAAAGTCAGCAAGTTAAGTGATCAAGCCACTCTGGATCATGTTCTTAACCACGACACCGTATTGTTTCTTGAGGGCAATATACAAGAAAGGGAGGCAATGTATAAGAAGAGGGAGGTTGGCGGAAGAATGATGAAGACAGGTGAAGACACAGGGAAGTATGCAAAGGCTAAAGCAGATAGAGGTAAATAGTATTATATACACAACCTTAGAACAACAGTGTTCCATGGGGAGATACTTGGACAGAGACACAGGCTGATTGGGTATGGGAGGAAAAGTGGGTGTATGCCCACAGATTTAGAAGCGTTTGAAAGAGGATATTTGTACATGGGTATTTATCTTTCCTGCTAACACAACTATAAATGTGGTGGAGCATACAGTGAGCAAAATGATGAACCCTTCCTAAATTATCAAACATCTTAAGGCAACGAGTTGCTGAGTTTGGGAGCCCAGGACTATAGTCTCAGGGGACAACATGGTCAATTGGCTTAACAGTCCATAAAGACAGTGTTCTACATCCCACTTTGGTGCATAGCATCTGGGATCTCAAAAACTTATGAGCAGCCATCTAAGGTGCTATGTGCGGAAGAAAGAAGAATGATGAGAATTGAAGATGTTTGGAATCAATTAGTCCAGCAGGCTAATGGAACATGTGAACTTCAGTCTTCATGAGTCTGAAACCAGAAGAACTAGATGGTGCCCGCTATTACTAACAACTGCTCTGAAAGGGCTCACATTAGAAGGTTCTGGATTAGAGTTTAAGAAAATGTGGAATAAAACTCAAAATTATTTATAAAAAAAAGACTGCGCTTACTGGTCAGAAAGATTGGAACAATCTGAAACTATGACCCTCGATCATCCTTCAGGTCTAGAAAGGAATTCACCCTCGTGGCCCAATTTTCAGTCAAGTAGTAGGTAGATATAGAGAGAGGACAACAACGCTAGTAAGATATGCACACTATGAAGTGGTCAATCATTCAAAATTAAAAGGACAACACTTACCTTAGCACAGAGTTGAGAAGGGATGGGAAGGAGGGTGGAATGGAAATAGGAGCCACAAGGAGGAAGCAGGAAAACTGCTGTTGCATGGAGGGGATTGTAGTCACTGAGATGAAACAAAGTGTAGGATTTGTTGAATGTAGAACCGATGAACTTGTCTGTAAACCTTCACTCAATTCACACTAAAAAGTTAAAAAATGTAAAAAAAGTATATATGAGATCTTCACAAAGTTCATGGAGGACTGAAATAAGATAATGGAATTTTTCCATGAACACTATGAAGTCCCTAGTATTATCCAAGACACTAGTATTACCCATAGGCAGCTAGAAGTAAAACAGGACCACATTTTCGTGTTCACAATGTAATGCATTAAAGAACCATCTTGAAAGCTGACTTTGTAAAACTCAGCTCTGATCTCTTTCCTTCTAGGTCATTATTTTGTAGTGGAAGCTGACATAAAGGAGTTCACTGCTTTGAAAATTGACAAGAGGTTTCACGTGATCCTGAATATTTTACGACACTGCAAGAGGCTCTCTGAGGTCCGAGGGGGAAGACTGACCCGTTATGTTATAACCTGAGGCCCTGTGAGCCCTCGGACCAACCACAGTGAAGTATAGGGATAGAATCTGTTCCTGGAATGCTTTATATATACTTTGATTCACTTTTTTTTCCCCTTTCTTCTGTAAAAATAAAACTTTTATTTTGATAAATGTCCTCCCTTTCAGCAAATATTTAAACTCCTACCATATAAACCTTTGTGCTAGGCACATAGTGGAATGAAAAACATTCATGTCCAGCTTTAGTGTTCAGATGACGATATAGCAGAGCCAGTAAGAAGGGTACAGATGTAATCCTGGAAGACAAAAGGTCACGAAGATAAGGTCAGGGATCCCTAGATCCCTAGGAATTAAAGTTCATTAGTATCTAAATCCCATCAATGGCATTTCCGTCTGCGGAACACTTCCTAAAAAGTTGGACTTGGAGACAGTTGTGCATGTGTATTTTCTTTGCTCTCTCATATTGGCACTAGCGAGTAAATTACATGAAATGCACTCAAGTATAAATCAGTCTGTAAACTTCAGCTTGTAGTGAAATTGTAATGACAGAACATTGAAATGAAAAAGATGATAAAATAACGTGTAGGAGGGTTGATAGTGGTCATGGATAATGAGTGACTGATTGGACGGTAGGAATTTAGCCATGTTTTTCTCCTTGACCTAGGAAGACTATCTGATGGTCCGCTAGGTCTGTACTGTGTTTGGCAGGCTTATCCCTGTAACAGAGAACCTGGTTAACACCATCGCTGTGATGACTACAACGCACTTTATGAGTCTTGTATATGTGTAGTTTATCCTTCTTTTCTCCTTGACTTAAACGCAGGTATGTTTAATTTGTCATGTCTTGCTTTAAATAAAAGTAATGACATGATACTTTGTTTTGAGTCCAGACTAATTTTTCTCTGAATCATTTTTTTCCTATGGAAACAGTTTTCTGTTTGAGGTGTTTCTTCTTGAAACTCCTATTGAACACCTTTATCAATAAGTTACTTTTTAAAAAATGAATGTTGGGGTGAACAGTTCATCTCTGTTGTAGTTGTTGGCACATTCATTTGGGTAAAATCATTTTCCTTAAAGAATAATGAAGACTTCCCCTCCTTTCACACAAGAATTAATCTGTTACTTAGAAATAATTTTCAAACAAATTGACAGTTTTTTTGAAATCTTATTTTGTAGACTTTCCACAACTTGATAAACATTTACCAAATCCCTACAGCTAACACCTGTAAAGATTTACAGCCTTGGAAACCCTATGCAGGGTCTCTATGAGTCGGAACCAACTCTATGGCACATAGCCACCACCACATGAGGTGCCCTGGTGGCGTAATGGGTTAAGCACCGGACTGCTAATCAAAAAGCTCACAAGCCTCTCTACAGAAGATGAGGTGCCACGCACCTCTCTACCCACTGACCCCTCCCTGACCTCCCTATCTTTGAAATTCCATCTCCCACAGTACTTCCTCTCCCTCTCCTTGCTGTATTTTTCTCCATAGCACTTCCATCCTGAATATGTCTTTATTAACTCAAATAGTCTTCAAAATAAAAGGTGTGGTGGTGGCTATATGCGTGGAGTCGGTTCTGACTTATAGCGACCCTGCATAGGGTTTCCGAGGCTGTAAATCTAAATGGAAGCAGAATGCCTCATCTTTCTCCTACAAACAGCTGGTAGTTCGAATTGCTTCACCCTGAGGTTAGCAGCTTGACTGCTCACCAACTAGGCTACCAGAGCTCTTTACAGTTGTTAAGTGCCGTCAAGTCGGCTCCAACTCTTAGTAACCTTGTATAGGGTTTCCGAGGAGTTGCTGGTGAGCTTGAACTGCCGACTTTGCAGTTCAAACCGACTTTGCATTCCAGCACACTAACCTGCCGCGTCACACCAGGACTCCCACTCTACAGTTGTTATTGTTAGGTGCTGTTGAGTCCCATTTCAACCCATAGTGACCCTGTATAGGCTTTCCAAGGAGCGGTTGGTGAGCTTGAACCGCTGATCTTGCGGTATAAACAATTTTGGATTACCACGCATTAACCCCAGCGCCACACTAGGACTTTACAGTTGTTAAACGCTGTAGAATCGATTCTGACCCATAACGACCCTGTATCGAGTTTCCGAGGAGCTTCTGGTGAGCTTGAACCACCGACCTTGCAGTTCAAACAGTGGTGGTGGTGATGGTGACTCATAGCGACTCTGTACAGGGTTTCCGAGGCTGTAAATCTTCACGGGAGCAGAAAGTCTCATCTTTCTCCCGTGGGAGGGTGCTAAGTAAGTATTAACTGAAACAGTTTGTGTGCATTGGCAAATGACTTCACTTTTTCAAGCCTTAGTTTTCTCCTGTATATGTTGATACAGTTAAACTAAAAATTTTCTAAGAACTTTCTACTTTTAATATTCCAGGATTCTAATATCCTAGTTATTTTCCATGAAAAAGAAAGGCTATTCTGGATCATTAAATAAATGAGAAAATAAATATATAAAAATATTCTACTGATAATTACATGAAAATCTCATCTTTTAAGTAAGGAATCTGTAAGGTATCATTTTTTAAGCTCTAAAAAATACTGAAATTCTCACTTATGAATTAGGGTTAAAAAAACAACTAATGACTAAGGAACTTTTTTTTTTTTAATGTTTTATTGTGAATTATGTGATAGTTTACATGGGAGAACATTAGCTTTACATTCATCCTACTTTACATCGTTTCATTTCCATGGTTTCAATCCCCTCCATGCATCATCAACCAACCAAAGAGAATGCCCTGATTGCTACCCTTGGGCCCTCACCATGGATGAGCTAATAGAAGATCTCCTCACATCAACTGCCTTGCCAGACCAGTGCCATTTCATTCAGGCCATCTTTAACAATGTGGAGAAATTCTACATTCCTGGAGCGGACATCACAAGCTATACCCTCAGCCAGCATTTCATCCCTCATCGAAAGGGTTGGATTGGCATTTTTTGAGGGGGGATGTAAGACAACTCATGAGTATTATACCTTCATGGGAGTTACTTTGCCCATTGACCTAAACAGTGAATCAGCCAAACAATAGGAACTCCAGTTCAAAGCTTATTACCTGCCCAAGGATGATGAGTGTTTCTAGTTCATCTATGTGGATCAGGATGGTGGGGTACAAGGAGCAAGAATCCCTTTTCAGTTCCATCTGGAAAGTTGTTAACACTCTGGGAGAGGTGGAGGAGATTGATCAGTAAACAGGAAGTTTTGTTGTAAATAAAGCAAGGAGGACAAGGACAGCTACATCTACCTCCAGAAGTAGAACTCAGACATTCAACTTGAGCTCTAGAAGATGCAGGGACAGCAGACGGAGCTAGAAACCACAAAGAGAATCATTAAGAATGTGGAACAAAAAGTGAAAGAGCAGGAGGACTGTTGGGAGAGAGAGCTGCTTCAACTCAAAAAGCAAAATCAGATGATAGCTTCAGACAATGAGGAGATGGGAATCAGTGGATCAGCTTCAGGCTCAGCTATCAATCCAAGAGAAAGCAAGGGAGAAGCTTATTCAGGGAGACAAAGGTAAGACTGAGCAACTGCAGCATCTGAAAAAGGAAAATGACCAGCTGTTTCAGAAAAAGCTTGAGTAGACTGAAAGATGAAGCAGAAAGATACTGCTGCCACAGGGAACAGCAGGAGCGAACAGACCAGAACTCTGCCCTGTCAAAAAGACTAAATGAGAATGAGTTTACATGAACTACCTACCTTGAGGTTAGCAGCCCAACACTTAAGCCACTACACTACCAGAGCTCCTTTTTGTTGTTGTTGGTGTCATCTACATCTAGTTGATTTGGACTCACAGAAACAACAGAAAGAAACAATACCTGGTCCTGTGCCATCCAGAGTTGTTACGTTTGAGCCCATTGCTGCTGCCACTGTGTCAATTCATCTAGTTGGGAATCTTCCTCTTTTCTGCTGACCCTCCACTTTATGTCCTTCTCCAGGGACTGGTCTCTCCTGATAATATGTCCAAAGTACGAGAGATGAAGTCTTGCCATCCTGGCTTCTGAGGTGTATTCTGGCTGTAATTCTTCTAACACAGATTTGTTTGTTCTTCTGGCAGCCCATGATACTTTTAATGTTCTTCTCCAACACCATAATTCAAGTGAATTGATTCTTCTCTGCTCTTGCTTATTCAATGTTCAACTTTCATATGTATATGATATGATTGAAAATACCATGACTTGGGCCAGGTGCACTTTAGTCCTTAAACACTTTTAAAGAGGTCTTTTGCAGCAGATTTGCCTAATGCAATAAGTCCTTTGAGTTTTTGACTGCTGTTTCCATGAGTGTAGACTGTGGATCCAAGGACAATAAAGTCTTTGACAACTTCAGTCTTTTCTCCATTTATCATGATGTTATTTATTAGTCCAGTTGTGAGGATATTTGTTTCCTTTACAGTGAGGTGCAATCCATACTGAAGGCTGTAGTCATTGATTTCTATTGGTATTTTAAGTCATCTTTGCTTCCAGAAAGCAAGGTTGTATATTTATGCGTTAAGTGCCATCAAGTCAGTTCCAACTCAAAGCGACCCTGTATAGAGTTTCTAAGGAGCAGCTGCTGGGTTTGAACTGATGACCTTGTGGTTCGCCATCCAGTGCTCATCCTACAGCACCACACCAGGAGTCCTGTATATGTATGTCACAGGTTATTAATGAGACTCCTCCAATCCTAATACTACATTCTTCTTCACATAATCCAGCTTCTTGAATGATTTGCTCAACATATAGATTAATAAGTATGGTGAAAGGATACAACTCTGGCACACACCTTTCCTGTCTTTAAACCATTCAGCATCCCCTTGCTCTGTTTAAACAACTGGTCTATGTACAGGTTCCTCATCAGCATAATTATAAGTATTCTGTAATACTCTTCTTACTGTTATCTTTAGTTTGTCATGATCGAAAGAGTGGAAAACATTTGCATAGGCAATAAAGCACAAGTAAACATCTTTCCGGTATTCAGCCAAGTTCCACCTGACATCTGGCTTGGATTTCTGGCAGTTCTTTGTTGATGT